CTTTTCTAGCCTCAAAATATACAACACACCAGTAAATACGAGTTAATATGTGTAAATAAGACGTAGATTAAGAAATACATACACTCTCAATATTGCGAAAAAGTAACGCAAACCATAACACCGGTCTGTGAGACCGCTACAATTTTTCAAACATTTTATATTTTACACGTTTCCAGCGAATGACAATAAGACTACCACAGCGTTTCGTAGGAACAGATGGCATATGAAGATACTATGAATTTAGAGTGTCTCTTGTGAATATTAAGAAAACTGTTGACAAGTAAAGCTTCAATAGCGGCCTGTGAGACCGATATAGTGGTTTAAAGGTTAAAACAGATATATAGAAGGTAACAGATATATATACAGGGTCCATCATCTTTCATCATTGGTAAAAATCTTTTTATAATAAAATACTGCGTATAAAAATAACATTATTTGATTCATCATGGTTCCTAAAGGTCATCGTGGTCTCACTTCCGGATTTTTTAATCTTTCAGGGGTTTCAAGGTCAGCGTTTGCGGCCGTCAACACATCTTCAAGCCAGTGTCCGTTCAGGCCATGTGGTAAGTCTGCATCTCTGATAAACGGAACTGGTTTCGTAGCGACGTGTAAGAATGGAGCAAAAAAATAGCGGCTCTCAAGCGTTTTTTATGCTTTACATAACGGCTGTTTAATACTGTGTCTGCATTTTTAATGTTAAGTCGGCCTCTGCACGCAGTTACACTGACATAAGGAATAACGTTAATTTTAATAGAGTATGGGTATGTGCTATCGGAAGTTTTAATTTACTTAATCGTCTGTACTAATAAAATAATTTGCATTGCTTTACAAGAAGCTATTATTTCTCTGTACATATTTTTGGGAGAGAAAAAATCGATGAAAGTTTCAAATGAAATATACATATATTCGGCCAATTGTTAGATATAAAAAAACATACAGTACTGTCCGTAAAAATTGCTCAAGTTATCGTTAATGTTTTCGTATTTAAGTAATACGAAACTGCAGAACAATAATTTATCGTGATGCACAATCTTCTTGCGTTCTTGCGGTATTTCGTCGGTTTCCGATATCTCGTCGGCTACGCAAGACGAGCCGTGCGATTGGAAAAGGAGGGTCATAGACTTAACAACCGTAGCTAATAGATAATGCCGGTGTAATTACATGACGGATGACCCGAGACGACTGTCGTTCGCGGAAGACGCGACGGGCGAACACAAGGAAACTCCAGGCTGGGGCAACGAGACATTTTTCATGTGGAATTATCTTTAAATTAAATTATTGTGGATTTATGCATCATCGCTCGAAATAAGTAAAATAATTAAAACAAAGAAAAATGGACTCTAAATTGAACCATGAACTCATCATTAAAGAACGATGATCTTTCTTAGACATTCTGCTCGTACTCTCGAAAAAAATTTAATTGAGGTTTCACGAGAATAAAGCAAATGTTTCACGAGAACAATTAAATTGTTCCTGGCGACTGGTGACATATGGACTATGATTGATCTTTGAAATGCATCTGGTCTGGTGCGCCCGCGCGCGCACGTATGTGTTTTTATCTCATGATTTGACAAGCGTGACTCATGCGACACGAGGCGTTGCGTTGAGATGGATTCTGGGTACTATAAAATTTCAGTCGATGCTACAATTGAATCGTGAACCATCTGTATCTTTTTGTTTCTCGTACGGTACTTTCGCAACGCATGCATTCGCGTATACGCGCGATAATGTGTCAAATATTATACGCCACGGTGAAGTCCGCGCTGAATTTAATTCGGGGGTGAGATGAAGAAGATGTTATCGATGCGGAAGAGGCTGGACCAGCACGAAAAGAAAAATCAAGCGTGGGCCGTGACTTAATTGGTCGACATCACAATTGCTGTATGCGCGACCGGACAGACAGCGGGAACTTTCTTAGCCGCCCAACCTTTTCCGGTGCTACATTTTTTCGGCGCGAGCGAAAACAGTGCCGTCTCCTCCCACACGAATCAATTATGCTTGAGCTCTCTCCTTATAACATTGCTTTGATCAATCAAATAGAACGGGAAATTGCTCCGTGAAATTAGATTAATAAAAAAAATTACGTTCAATTCTCGAAAGTTACGTTAAAATTACGTTAGAATTTTTTATTCGATAATTTAGATGTATTTATCAGCATATTGCAAAAAAAGGAAGATATTTTGTCTTAAAAAGACGATCTTTAAGGAATCTTTTAAGAAACGATTTATTTCTTCAGTATATTTGTTTTGAAAAAAAAAAAAGATATTGAAGCTAATAGCATTTATATATGATAGAGTATGTTTTTCTTATTCAACATTGCAAGTAAAAATCACATTCATATCTCACGTGCTCGGACACACCCTTAAAAATGAAATAATTTTCTAGAAATTTTAAATAGTTCAGATTTTTTTTATCAAATTGATGCAACTGCTAACTGTTGCGTTATCAATTATCGAATATTTTGTAATCGATTGTTATTTAATAATACATAAGCGTTTTGCTCGTCATAATTAGTTACATATTTCAAAAGTTATTCAATATGAGCATGTCAGAATCAAATACATCGCCCAGCGGTCATCGGAATAGGCATCGTCTCCTTATTCGTCTTATTCGCGTGACCTACGACTTCGGATTTGTTATTTCTGGCACTGCCGTGTGTGCTTGGACGGTGTGTCTGGATTATAAATAGTCTTGCCGCCGATCTCGCCACGTGCATTAGCGTTAACCCGCGACGGATTTTTGCAAAAGTGCGATCGGCTCAGCCGCGCGTAGGCGCAAACACCTTTGATGTCTACCGTAATGTGAATTTTCGTGGGTGTACTAATAGATTAGTTCGCAAATTGATTTTCGTATGCGTACTCGAAGCTGTGAGCTCACGATACTCGCGCAGTAGAAACGGAATCGGATTCAAGTGGATTCTTGAAGAAGAAGTGCAGAAAGAAGAATACGGTATTATCAGTGCGAGAAAGAATTTTTTTTTTTATTGTAAAAATAACTATTGAGACGAAGAAAATTAATTCTTCTAGAGAAAATACGGGAATAAAAATACGAAAAAGTAAAGACACACAATTATTTAAAAAAAATGAAAAATGAAAATATGTGTCATCGTGAATAGAAATTTAAATAACAATATAAATATAACCTAGTGAGGTTGAAACTGGTATCGTGAAATTGCTACGTATGAGTTAATAGAGAATTAAATATTATAAAAATGTTTGCTCGCCTTTGGCCCGTTTTTATTTATATTGTTATTTACAAAATCGAGATGTATTTTTTATTATTTAGAAAATTTAAAGTTTATTGATATTGGTTTCTACCGTATTTTTTTATTTTTAAAATTATCTTTACAAGTAAAATTGCATATATTTCGAAAGCAGAAATACACCTTTTCAATGTAGCAATTAATTATGAATTATAACGCTTAAAATTCATTAATAAATATACATAATATTCAATTATATTAATTATAATATTATTTAATTATTTCATTAATATTATTAATGAATTTTGTGCGGAAAAATTCGACAAGAGTGAACGTACTCTTGTTTCAGCACTTCGTGGATTCAAAAATAAATGTTTATAGTCGGATCAACTCTTGCAATGAAAACGATTGTACCACTGCACAATTGTTGCATTCAAGTCGATTACTGCGCAAACCGTGACGTGTCGAAAGGCGTCTGTACACCGCGAACGGACGCCGCGCCGCACCGCGACGTCGAGAACACCATCGTCGCTCGCCTCCCATCTACGACGACGTCGGGACGTCCCTCGTCGTCGTCGTCCTATTTTTAGAGAAGCCCCGTTGGTCTCGACCATCTCACGCACCGTGGTGGGGTTGGTTATACGGCCGCGGACCACCGCCCGCGCCATTTATGGGCGCGTCGCGACGCGTGGTCACTTTGCCGAATTTCACCACGTGGTCGAACGACACTGAACAAACCCCCCGTGGAATCACGTCGTTTCCGCGTGCATGCGTAGTGCGTACGTACGTGCGTGCTTGCGTGCGTTTTCGCACGAGACCGCATTCCCGCGCTCGGTGTCGTATTGTTGCGTTACGCGCGTTTCTAAATACTACAAACGCTATTGTTGATCCTTATTGATCGGTCTTTATTGATGACGCGATAAGTATCGCTATTGTACAGCTGGAAAGAATCGGTGGCATTTAATTTTGGATGAGAATTATAGTATCAATTCATTGTAATTTAAATTGCTGAAAAGGACTGGGAGTTAACACCTAGTATAATATACACGGAGAGAATTTTATTTTAAAATTTACCCTGAAAATCATGTTAATTGTAGGACAATATAGTATTTCGAATTTTATGTGATTTTTACTATTTTTTTAAATATATACTACAACAAATTTATTGTAGTGCACAGTAAAATTTGTCGAAATACTATGTCGTTCCACGATTAAAATGATTTTCAGGAAAAATAATAAAAGGAAATTTTTCTCCGTTTAGGATTGTTATTTTTGACTTACTTCGAATTTTCGAAGCTTCGAAGTTAACTTCAACCTTTTGAAGTTTCGAAAAATACATTCGTGTAAATTTAATTAAAAAATTATTAAATTTTATTAATTTTATAATTTTAAATTTTCTGTTTTTAAAATTGTTTTATACTGAGGAAGATTTAATGACGCCAAAACAATTATATTAATTTATTATATTGTTCATCTATTTACAAATAAATTTATTTTTTTTTATTTTCTTAATTTGATTGTTCTATTGATTATTTTCTTTCCTTATTTACATACGTATAAGTATCAAGTTTAATTATTAATTTGTAATATTCCAGGTTATAATACTTTCAATTTTTTTAGGAATAATTACGTATATCTATTTTGAGCATATATATTAATTTTTTTTATTTACAATATTTGTAAATTTTCTGAATAAATTTATTTAAACGAATGCATTTTTCGAAACTTCGAAGCTTCGAAAAAATTCGAAGATTTTAATGACGAAGCTTTGAATCTTTGTATTGCGAAATAAATAATTAATATGTACAGAGACAATGCACAATTCATTTACATTGCAATACATTTTTTAGCGCCTTAATTGCGAATACTGTTGCTTCAGATAGTAACAATATATATTTATATTAAAAATATTGAAAATACTAAAATATTGAAAATAATAATTAATATTCTTATAATATAAAAAGTTAATTTGTGAACAATATACATACATACAAATTACATATAATGTACATATTGTAACAACAACAAATGAAAATGTAAATTTATTGATATTGATATTATTATTTCATCCATGCTAATTTAATTAATTCTGCCCTGTACATACATATAAATGACGAATATGATAATACAAAGTAATGAAGCGCACTGATTATAAGAATCAAGTTTTGCATCTATCTGCTTTCATGATCAATATGATTATAATAATATTATAAGTAGAAATTCTTTGTTCTATTATCTTTGTGTTTGCACTTGGAAACTATCATAAGAATAATATTTTTGTCGCGTATAGGAGTACTTAAGGGCCGTCGCGAAAGTTTACCTCCGTTTGCTCATTGTGGATGGCCGACCTCTCTATAAACGTGACCCACATACATAATTGCGTCTGAGAGTATCTACTTTGTTTCGACTTCAAAAGTTTCTCGTTCACAGACGGGAACTCCTCTCCGATTCTGAGATTCGCCGCGCCGCCGCTCAGTGTCAAGCGTGAAATATTAGACGTACTTGGTTCTCGTAGCATATAGTCTTGATATTTTCTTTGCGAGCCGACGTGAATACGCAGCGCGTAGAAGGAAGGCTGTTTATTTATGAACGTTCATCCGCCCGGCGATTATTTTTCGATCCATTGTTACGCGTATTCTCGGGGAAACCGTTTCTAGCGGCACGATTGGATGCGAACGTTTCAGTCGGTTGAGACATTATTAATCTGGATTCCTGTCGATGTTGTTGTCGATCTCTTTTTACGCGATACCTTGACACAGAATTTCCGAACTGCCGGTCGTCGCGCGGCGGATTATGAACGTCTAGCAAAGTGTACCAGCTGGTACCTGATACGGGTTATTAACTAGTATGTATTTGATAGTTTTTTTATTGTTAGTATTTAATGAATCGCTGAACTAATCAACCGTCTCGTAAAGCATTTTATGTAAATGTATAAAATAAAAGATCGCATAATTCAATTGGGATCTTAAAAATCTTAACGTTGACAAAGAGAAAGATAGATTAGGGAGAAGCATGTGTATATATAACAATGTTAATGTAAATAATTTGCATGCTAGAGAAGCTCACATTTAGATTCTTTTTTGTGTTAAGATTTAGATAATATTTATCCAAGTGACATATCTAATATGTTAAATTTTGAATTACATATATTAACGGGGTAAAGAAATAAAGTTTAATACTCAAGGAATACATTCTATTATACATACTCATTTTCAGATTTGTATGCGGAAAAAACAATTTTGTTGAAAGATCTAAAAATTTTGCTAAAAACAGAACTGAAAATAATTTTTTATTGAATCATTAAAATAATTTGTTGGAATGTTAAAACTGATAAGTATTGCTATAAAACGTTTTGATATTCTAGCAATCATTTTGACTTTTGCACAAAATAATTTTGACTATTGAACAAAAATTATTTTCAGATCTGAATTCAGCAAAATTATTCTTTCCGTGTATAACGAAGAAAATCTTGTAAAACAATTTCTTATTTTTAATAAGTTATTATAAGATTTATCCAAGCGATATATATATCTTATCTAAATATTAAATTTTTAATTATATTAACGGGATAAAGAAATAAAGTTTAGTACACAAAGAATACATCCTATTATACAATACATACTCAGATTTGTAACGAAGAAAATCTTGTAAAACAATTTCTTACTTTAAAAAATGATTATTTAAATTTTTATGTGACGATACACGTATGTGAACATGCAATATAGAAATATCTGATAGTTTTGCTGGCTAAATCATTATGCGTATCCTACTCCAGATATCCGATTCAGCGGACGACAGTCTGCGATCTGGTTTTTGTTCTGGTCGGTGCAAAACGTGTCAGGTCGACTGGTTTCCAGGCCGTAGTGACGGGTGTTCAGGCGTGGTGAATGTCCAGCGGATGAGTGCTCCCCGTCCCCAATCGCGCAAAGATAACTTTCCGCGTAGAGGTTTCCTCTAACGATCGACTCCAATTAGCGCGAAGAGCCGATTTGATTGAGCGTAAATCGTGTATGTGCTTGCTCTTTCACGCGCGGAGGGAAAGCCAATGTTAGCCAATGAGGCGGCGTTAAAAGGTGATAAAAGGCCAAAACAGTACGGCGCGTATATTTTTTTCACAACCGCGGTAGACAGGAAGCCGCTTCGCGGGATCATCGGGAATCAATGAACTTCAAGCGGACAGCCGGTCGGGAACCGGTTTCCGGATGACGAAGACGAGAACTCGAAATGACACCTCGTTCTATGATGAGGCTGCCGACACTCGTACAGCATTCTCATCATGGATGCGATCGTGTCGATAGCGCGAGCGGTTGCGTCACGTTCCCATGTCTCTCACGCCTCGAGATCTATTTAAAAAACTTATTGTCCATTAATTTGACATATCAAATTATACTTTACATTGTAATTTATTATCATTATAATTTATTTTATCATATTACAATAAAAATAATAATTTTTATTAAAAAAATTATTAAGAGAAAATTAAGAATAATTATTATTTATAGAAATATCATGTTATATGTAAAAGCAATTCAAATCACAGCACGAATTTGTATAGATGCACTTGATACTAAATTCATTCTTTTTTTTCAATAAAAATTTAATAAACTTATTTAAAGTTTTAAATAAGTTAGCTAATATTTAATGAATTAAAAATATATTACATTATTTGAAAGGGATCTTATTTTGTGTCTAAATAAAAAATTTACATTGCAGAACTAATACTATTTATCGATACATTTATAATCCTGATGACAATTTTTTTTAATGGTAATTACATTATGTAGGTACTATATATATTAGAGGTGTGCGAATAGTTCGAATTTGAATCGAATCGAATTGAATTACAATGGATTCGATTCAAGATCTATAAGATTCAAAATCGAATAGTTCAAGAATTTCGAATCAGCAATGGTTCGATTTCAAATTGATCGTCTTTTTTATTTGCTTCATTTTTATCTTCCGCGTAACCTTCTTATATCAAGGTCATCATATATGTAGAGTGGACTGAGCATCATATTAGACAAATGTGACGCCTGTCCTAGAATGAAAGATATTACGTCTTAAGCATATGTTTGTCTCTTTTGCTAGCATCTCATTGGTAATTTTGTCTTCCGCTGGAATTAAATTATTAATGAGATGTTAGCAAGACAAAATAAGCCTAACATATAGTATCTCTCACTTTAGTGCGGGCGCGCGTCTTGCCTAATGTATTTTTATTAATTACATATTTTCTACTTTAAAATATATGATCATGATCTTTCGTAATAAGACGTAAATCGAAAATAGATCTCCAATGTGTTCAAACCATTGCGTAAAATAATAAATCGTAAATTTTGATTACGTTTAATAGGTAATATAAATTAGGGAAAATTTAATTCGATCCGGACATGTTATTAAAAATTCGATTCTAACGCAAATTGATTCACACACTTCTACTATATAGTATCTCCTTTAATATATTAGGAGTTATCCAAAAAAAAGGAATAGTTTATTCCTGTTTATGAAATTATAACGAATAAATATCTTTAATCCTTTATCTTTAATCCTATATCTTGATACAGATGATAATTTTAATTAGAAATGACATGAATGAACAAACTTAATGCGACTATGAAGTGTTTAAATCGTAAATACCTGATAGAAACGGAGATGATAACAAGTTATCCTTATCGTCGCACAATATTGACAGGCACGAGTGATATCTCTTATGAATACGTCTTTCTTCACGCGACGATCTAAGAGACGTCGGTAAGAGATGCTGTCATTATCGGCGAAATTAACTGATTGACGGCATGCTTGACTTTACCTTTGCCGCGCCTTGCTTTATATTTTCACGCGGAGGTTGTCGACTCTGATTCCCGTTTTCACTTTTTGTCAGAGAAACCTCGGGCACCGATTTCAACGCAAAGTCGCTTTCACGTCGTCCAATACCGATTTATCGTTGTCAGAGGAGTCGTGGTGACCCGTCGGCATTTCGAATACATGAGCCTAAAAAAATCTGATGCTGTTTCGTTTTCAATCGAGAAGCATTGTGCTTCCGCGTTCAGACATTACAAAAATAAATGTTTTTCACTCGAGATTGAAAAAAAGATTACCTACTACAAAATTTTTAACGAAATTAAATAACGCATTGCCGTCATTTATCATTATGTATGTCATAATCTGCATATTTATAACAAAAAAAATTTAATTTATTCCTTCATTCTTGTTACATTTGTTTATTAGAGTGTTCTGTTAACATTTCAAAACGTTTATATCATTTTTAAAATTAATAGCATGAATTTTCACGTTTATTAAAGTCATCAGAATTATGCGCGAATAATAAGAATCAATTAATCTTGCAATGCGAGCTTTTTTTATAGTCAGATGTTTCTCAAATATACATATATTTGTAAATTATAAAATATATGTGATCTCGGTTTTATAAATGCAAATTTCCTTCCTTTTACCAGTTTTTTGTTGTACTATTTAAAATAACGCTCAGCAGATTAATTGAATAGATTTCGTTGCCACTGGTTGCTGCTCGCATTTTAGTGTAGACCGCGCGTGCTCGTATCATGCGCGCTTTGCACGCATATTTGCGGGACACGCTTTACAAGTCCGTGATATGGTGTTTAATGGAATTCGTCTGTCGTGCGCAGGCGGGGACGAGCGATATAACTTGATTCTCCCGTCCGCATCAGTTGACGGCCGTGTTGCCCAGATAACAGAGGCGGACTCGAGTTCCCATGCACGTTATCTCGTCATCAGCCTTACACCTCCCTCAATTTCATTACAGTAGCTCGACGTTGGTATTCCACCCGGAATACAAGGAAAGTAAAATAATATCGAGGTATTACTTTACTTTAGAAGAAGACGTAGCTACAAGGAGATAGCGTGGTCTTATCGCTGTTTCTGCATTTTTTTATATAAAAATTATTCAGTTTTAAACGAGAAATCTGTTCCTGCACGCGTTAATTGCGAATGTATGTACATATCAATTCTGTTCCTATCTCACGTCCTCACGTATTCCTATACCTCACGTCTGTTGTCGATGCGCGATAGCTTTTGCAGGAACTATCACGAACTTCCGCCATCTCTCCAGTCTCCAAGTCTCGGTTCCGTCTATTGTGGCGTTGCTTTGTTTTCCCTGCCGTATCAAGTTCCCCCTTCGAAGGGGCGTGCGCTGGGGGGATAACTTTCGGTTAACTGATAGAACAGAATGCGCGATAACTTGGTTGCGTCTCTCTCCCTCGTTGCATAACCGAATATGCAATGTGATATCGATGACATAATGACGAAAACCATGATCGATTGTAATAACGTGCCCATATGTAACGCCCATTGTTCGTATCTTTCCTACGGCAATTAGTTTCTACTTCGATATACGCTTCGCGCGCACCATTTATTCGCTATTAATGAAATATAACACACACACACACAACAGGCATTTAACATTAATATTATATTACTTTTATTATGTATAGGATATTTCTAACATTTTAAGTTCAATTGATAATACGTTATATAATTAAACAATTAAAACAACTACATATATACAGATATATATAGGTATATACAAGGTGTCTTATACTCAATGGTACAGCGCTTGTGGGCAGGTAATGTGGACCAAACTGAACAAAAAAGTCCTCTATCATTTTGCGATCTTCACAATAGTTATTAAGATACTAATCATTTTAAAAAAAGAAAAAATTTTACATAATGGCCAAGTTTTTGCTTCACTAAGATCGGAAGAGCACA